CTCATCCCAACCAAAATGCAACATTCTTTTTAGACAGTGGTGATCTGTTTATGCCTCTGCACTGATAATTAGCACCGGATATGCCGAGGGAGATACAAGTTTCTGGTTTCGCTAATGTAACCGCGACTAAAGACAATTATTACTGTTGTAGAGTGTCTGGTGTTATCTTTGAGACTTATTGTTGGTCCATCTCGAACTATAAGTAACACCTTATATGGTATATCATTGTCTCTAGGCCAGCAAGTCAATATATGCACTATATTTTTATGCAATTTAGCTTGAGTTCTATACTGACTTTTACTGCCATACTACGACTCGAAAAGCAGAAATCAAATATACAGAAGGCATTGCGTAGTTATGTACTAATGAAGACCTTCCAACAAATTGTCATTAGTCTTTGCATACCAGCCACGTTACTAAAGTCTGATGTTTTTGGTTGTTTTTTTTTTTAAACCCATAATTTGGTGAATGTATACAATCTATTAGACTGTTCATTTTTTTAAATCTTATGAACTACACAATGGGACAGACCAAAACATCTGTATTCTTTAATGTTATTTGTAAATGAATGAATCAATGAAATACTGCCATCACTGCACCTGGGACATTCTCGTACATGCTCTGCCCCATACTGGTTAACTAAGCGTTCCCAAACTGGTTAACTAAGCGTTCCTAAACTGGTTAACTAAGCGTTCCCAAACTGGTTAACCTGATTAAAGCTTTGTTCTTTTAAGACTGTGGGTACACATTAGTCTAGACGTCTTGCTCACTCCCAGCTGAATCGTTCTCTTTAAATATGGACTCTGAGGCACTGTGTTTTTTCTTTTTAATCCTAGAGAGCCTTAACTATGCTTGTGCTTCAGGTTTGTGATAAAACTGACCAGTGATAGTACCTTCTATTTTCAAATGTCTTGTTGGTCAATTCAAGATAGGGGACCCGACAGAGATATTAAAATGATAATACGAAAGGCAGGAGGAGTTCTCATAACACTAGGACATTTATCGAAACCAAAGGGGGAAAAAACGAAAACCAACCTTTAAATATTAAACTCTTATGATAAAATCATTAATGTTTAGCTTTGGAAGAGATCTATAAACAATGAATTAGAAGGTGAGGAACAGAGCCTGACGTTGGATTGGACACACAAATTTTGAAAACCTGAACAGGATATTTATAAGTCTTTAAACTGAAAACGACGAAGGTGTAGAAATATAAGAAGACCGACACACACTCATCTATGGAGAAGGGAACTAGAAAGTGAAGTTAAAACATTGATAAAGACATGGAGTTGCCTACATGTGATAGCGACAGTTAGGGGGAGTTGGCTAAGTTCCTCTGTGTAGTGAGTCATTTTCTCCCCATTAATTCATGCCCGATAGATGACGTCGATAATAAATGTAAGACGAATGTTTTGACTGACTGAGATAACACGAGATTTATGTCTTGAGTTTCATGAGAGACATCTGAAAGTCAGGTTTTATGTGAAACATGATTGTTCACGTGAACCATGAAGGTTGACTGGCAGGATTCGTGTGAAATGCGAATTATCACGGGCCAGACACGACTTTCAACGGTGGGGAATTCGTGAGAATGAAATTATCCAGAATATTCGAGAACATGACAGATCAGAGGGCTAAATAATAGCGAAGAAAGGTTTGTGAGGCAGTCTCGTTTAGGCCAAGGGAAGGTGTACGTGTGAGAAGTCCGGAAGAATGTTGACCTCTGAATAGCGTGATTTCCCAATGCCTACCTGGCATAAAATAGCGGCTGACGGAAACGGTGGCCAGCTGTGAATGACTGTCGTCTGGATGGAGGAAATTACTGTGTTTCGCTAAGTTAAATGATGAATTCTACGATGTTACAAAGGTATGATTGACTGTTTAGAGCATTGAATAAGTAATCGATGAGTGATATTGTCGTGTAAAAACATTTACTGACTGCAACATCAGCGAGTGAAAATAAACAGTACGTGTAACTTCTGAACGTCTGCCAGCGTCCATGTTTTCTCGTTCTTGTCAGTTGGTGAATGGAAAGATGCGGTGACTCATTCGAGCCAGCAATTAATAACAATGAAGATCACTGCACTCTGCCCTATCAGAGGATAAAGAGCAAAAGAGTAAAATGTTCGTCTGTCAGAGCATGAAATCTACGAATAAGAAAGAAAGAAAGAAAGAACAAGAAAACACGAGAAAATCTAATGAACACTCTGACAACGATGATAATAATCTTTGACGATTATCTTGATGTGGTGACGACACAGTGAGACACTGGCAAAGAGTATGATAATGTTACAGAACAAAACTATAGAGATTTAAAAAAAAAAACTTAGGTAAAATAAAACTAAGCACAACACCGTCAAGACGGTTATCGTGGTTTTAGGTAAGTGGTTTCCTGTATGGGTTCCGGGTGTCGATTGACAGCCCACACCCCTCTGGTCAATGACCTGCCCATATTTTGTCACCTCTATGTAAATGAGATACTTAAAAATCTTAGAATTTTTTTTTTACGTAAATAGTCCTTCTTTAGTACTTATGTGCCAAGATGTCGAGTTAAGTACTAAATTCAATCTAATTCTCTTGAAAATGACATATATTTAAATTCAACCATATAGGTGGTAGATTCATTGACAGTGAAGACATATTCCAATGACCTAGCTACCGCTTCGGACGCGGATGAATCCCCTCCCGCCTCTAGGTGGAGAGACGCTTAGTTTGAACTCATTCTTAACTGAGCTTCCAGATTGAACAGACGGCTGGCTTTTGGTCTATCTGCTTACCTCTGTTTGAATCACCGATTCGCCCGGGAACGTGCATAAGCATGGGTAAGTGCATTATAGATTATTAGTACCATACATTCGGCTCTGCTGCAGAGGTGGCTATGTGAAGCAATGCGACCTAGCTGTCAAACCATTCAAACTGCAGGACGGCGCGTAACTAGTTTCCCTACAAGACGACGAAAAATCTCACCTCGTACTCCTTCAATGGGTTACAGACTGCTCGGACATTACATGTCCATTTTAGTATATGATTGTTTACATTTGATAGATTTCTGCACTTGCTAACTAGTGTAAGTATCTGGAATAAACAGGTCATCGCAGACCCTATTGATCGGTATCCGCTGGGGTCATGCTAGTATGACATGACGTCACGTCCACCCTACCCAAATGGTAAACAGGACATTGTCAGCGGGGGAGTGAGATTGTGTATCCTGTTTATGTGGCTCGTGTATAGATCTATACTCTTGTTTCATTGTATTCTTCTGTGAGTATAAGTAACCTATTATTTAAGAAAGAAATGGTGTTATCCCTCTATAAGATGGCATATGCAAACTATCGCTGTCACTAGAGAGCAGCATTAGATAGAACTTCGTTTCTTTCTAACCCCACAGCTGTCAGTTGCGATCCTAAAATTGTTACAGACTTATGCAGTCTATTTCAGCATAACACAGACATCTGAGCTAAAACTATGTGGCTAAATGGATAGGTGGTGAACATGGTATAGTGTTTGGTGATTGCTTACTCTGGTTTTTCTCTTTATCACAGGCCAAGTCGACGATTAGTATCCTAGCACTATCCAGTGAATCCCACATCCAGCTTACAGGAGGAGGGATCCTCTGCAAACAACTCATTCCTTTCCATACACCATGTCATTGGCTCCATGAAACAACTGTCTGTTGTTTTGTGATGTGCACACTTAGCTTGGATCTACAACCCACAAGTCTTTTATGTGAGGGTTGCCAACAACTGCGACTATCAGAGGGTGGCTTAAAGTGTAAATATTAACTGTTAACAGGGACCCATTTTCCGTGAGATACATTTGAACTGTAAGACTATTCTTGTGGTACATGCATTACTTAGTTAATTATCGTGACTATCGTGTCGTGGTCTTCATGGGGGAATTCACAAGACTTCAAACCTGTACTGCCCTATGTGGGAGGAGGCCTTAATTCAACTGAGCAGGACATCTTAGACAGACAAGTAGGATCACTACTACCTGCAGTTAACTCTAACAGTCACAGCCTATTACCTAGGTACAAAATGTCCTAGTTTAGCCGTGATAAAACTGGCTGTTACTAGGGACAATTCAGGAGTCCATATGGAATAGAATATTAATTGCATCCTTAGCTGGGTTGATTGATCTTGCTGAATTCTTTTCTTTATATTCCTACATGTTTTGCACTGATTACATGATGTTTTGTTATTTCACATTATGTGGTTAGTGTGCATCCTTCACATGTCTTAAGTTGTCTGGAGTATTTGTTGTATTGCTATACTTTATGTTATATTGTGTTAATTTGACTAGAATAGAATTACCATCTAGTCTGGGGGCTTGAAAGTAATGGGTAAGTCAGTCCAAGTTGCGCCTAGGAATGTATTCTTGATTCTGTAGTGTCATCATTTGAATCGCCTTACCCCTGAAGTAGTTGGATGCTCACTGAAGCGGCGAGATACTACCTAGACCATTGCGAGCCAACATCTCAACACTATAACTCCTTCAGCGTGTCTTTGGCTCATTAGAGTAAACCCTAATAAGGACACGTGGCTACTAGCATTATTTGACATTGGGGCTCCATTGGGAGGGAGGAGGGTGGGTCCCTAGTAAACCCGTAAACGTCGAGTAACTGTGGGTGTTTCCTTTGAAGTCGGAGTGCGTTTTCCCCTGAGAGGCGAAAAACCAACAGTCGGTATGTAAAAATGCCAAATCTGAATGTGTACTGAAAACTCACATTCTGGGACAAGCCTAAAGTCTAGACGTTGACGAACAACCAGAACTTTACAGATGTTAACAGCCAGTGAATGCCAAGAAGAAGACAAAGAAGTTTGAAAAAGGCACACGATTCGCGCCATGGGTGAGACTGGTGCCTTATCACGTAATGTGCCCAAAGACAACACTGGATGCAAAGCAACAACATGCGTTTTAGACACAGTACACACACATGCTCCAAACAAAAGTACAAAACAAAAAAATTAACACTACCAAAATGTATAAATGAGTGTGATTTATGTTTCAAGTGGATGAAAGCTGAGGGCTTCAGAAACATCCTTCTGTGTCCTGTCTGGCGGTGGTACAACAAGAATTTTACTGGTTGAGGTGTTCGGTTCCGATACAGCCCATGGCTGCAGTGAGGCGTTGCCAAAAATTAGAAAAATTAATCCAGATGTTAATTTCACTGCAGCCATTGTAATCCATACCGAACGCCATTCTGTGTACAGGCCCTGAGAAGAAAAAGAAAGGTTAGAAAAAGAATGATAACTGAGTTTTCGCATGCAACAAATGTAAAAGGCTGTAACTTCCCTTTGTGCGTTCCGAGGCCCTATTTTAGGAAAAACAAGAATAGAGCCTACCCAAAAACATGTCGTAAGAGTCGACTAATTGGGAACATCATTCGAAGTCGGAGTCAATCTTCCTGAGAGGCAAGGAACCAACAGTCTGCACACAAATGAGTCAGATCAGTCAAACAGAGGCACACGCAACAGGTTCTGGAACATGACTGCAGTCCAGAAGTGGACCAAAAACCAGAACTTTTCTTCAGAGTTTACAGCTTGTGAACGCGAAGAAGAAGAAGAAGAATAAATGCTGATTTAATAATTTTTTTTTTTTTTAAGGTGGATAAATTTGAGAAACGTATTCTTTCTCTGCGTTTGCTCTTAAAAGGGCAGTTGGCCGTAATGTTTTGGTTTACAGCCAAACTGTAATATGTGTGCCATTAAGCCCAAAACATGAGATTTCAGCCAACGTTTAGTTGTACCTTTTTACGACATGCTCAATAAGATGGTGAGCGTGTGAGGCTTAGGCGCTTCGAAATGCCAGGGTGCCGAGTTCGATCCCAGCTGAGGGCGATTTGGCAACATAACGTCTTGTGTTGGTTTCGTCAGTGGTATCGAGAGCTGACCGTTCTAAGGCTACAGCAAACTACTGAGCGTAAAACTTGCCTACAAAAACTACAAATGTACAAACAAAAATATTAATAATGCTGCTGATGGTTCTGCAAAGTCCTGTGAATGATCCGAGGTACTTATAACGAACTTGAGTTTCTTCCCCTACCGCTGCTGGTTCAGCAGCCTACCCTATGTTGTGGAAGTATCATGTATTCCTTTATTCCCAAACGGTTTAACCTTTCTCTCTCTGTCTCTCTCTCTGTCTCTGTCTCTCTCTCTCTCTCTCTGTCTCTCTCTCTCTCTCTCTCTCTCTCTCTCTCTCTCTCTCTCTCTCTCTCTCTCTCTCTCTCTCTCTCTCTCTCTCTCTCGCTCTCTCTCTCTATTTTACTTGCCTGATTATTTCTATGTTGTGCTACTATCCCGACGGTTCGTTAGTATCGAAACTGATGTTTTTGTTTTTGTAAGTTCCTTGTTAGTGGCTTCTTTTTCGGGGGAAAAAAGGGGAAGGGGGGGGGTTACCGCTTTACTCTCTCACCTTATTTCGTCCTTTTGGTCCTCCCCTTACTACTATCAATAATACTACTACTTTCATTAATACTATTATTAATACTGTTACTATTTCTTCTACTATTACTACTATCACAACAGCTACTTTTACTATCACTATTACTACTGCTTCTTCTTCATCTCTTCATCCTCTACCTACTCCTCGTCGTCTTATTACTACTGCTACTGCAGCTACTACTACTACTACTACTACTACTACTACTACTACTACTACTACTACTACTACTACTAATACTACTACTACTACTACTACTACTACTACTACTACTACTACTACTACTACTGCTGCTGCTGCTGCTGCTGCTGCTTCTGCTGCTGCTACTACTACTACTACTATTATTACAACAACTACTACTACAACTTTTACTACTTCTATTACTACCAATATTACTAATACTATTACTACTATCACTACTGCTACTACTGCTAACAATATTACTACTGCTGTTTTATCATTTTCTTCTTTTTCTTTTTTCTTCATCATCTTCTTCTTCTTCTTCTTCTTCTTCTTCTTCTTCTTCTTCTTCTTCTTCTTCTTCTTCTTCTTCTTCTTCTTCTTCTTCTTCTTCTTCTTCTTCTTTTTTCTTCTTCTTCTTCTTCTTCTTCTTCTTCTTCTTCTTCTTCTTCTTCTTCTTCTTCTTCTTCTTCTTCTTCTTCTTTCTTCTTCTTCTTTCTTCTTCTTCTTCTTCTTCTTCTTCTTCTTCTTCTCTTCTTCTTTCTTCTTCTTCTTCTTCTTCTTCTTCTTCTTTCTTCTTCTTCTTTCTTTCTCTTCTTCTTCTTCTTCTTTTTCTTCTTCTTCTACTTCCTCTTCTTCTTCCTCTTTTGCCCTAATAAGGCGGTTGCCACGTTGTGGTACAGAAATATACTGTGGTTTATGCACCATTCGGCTTTCGGCTTGAAAACATCAGGTTTCAGCAAATCTTTATTAGATGCCTTTTACGGCACACAGTAGGTTTACTTTTCTCCATCAAAATGTCAGTATCTCAGAACTCACCTTGGCAGTAATTGCTGTAACAAACATAGGGGACGTCAGCGACGCTAAACATGTCAAGGACGAATAAAGTCCTGAAATAAAGCCGGAGTACCTGATGGGAGAACGAAAACAGGTGAGTATTTTGATTTTTCAATTTGTATGTACTTACTTACTTAGTCAATTCTCTTCTACCCTAGGGTGGATAGATTTGCCAGAGGGATCATTAGACTTCTCTATCAGCACTTTCGTTTTCGAACTAATTCCATTCCAGTCCTTTGCAGTCAGAGACAGTCAGATGTTGTCTTCCCAGCGAACTCTGGATCGTCCTGTAGGACTAACTCCCTGATTCTTGGTCCCTAGCACCTGACTGACTCTCTTCCATTCTACATACATATCAAAACCATCGTTAACTGTGACTGATTCATTCGAGTTTGTAAGACCCGGCTTTAAAGATCTTGGCGTATTTACCGGTTGGGAACTTTGTCCTTCCTTCTTTTCCCTTGGACCACCCTACTTTATTACCTAATTTCTGAGGCCTGAAGCTGGCTTCTATGAGCTTTTGTCATCGCCCATGACTAGTATCCGCAAGTCAGGAATAGCGCATATATATTAACCAGTTTCGTCCTAAACTGTATGCACCTGTATCAGTTGCGTTGTTGTTGTATGCTGATGAAAGCATTTTACATTGCCACGTTTATTATATCATTTGTGAATGTTTTCTTTAGATGCTAACAAGTTTACATCTGGTTCTGGTTAAATTTTATTTCTCTGATGGAAGAGGGTGACACCCTGATACAAACTTCAAACACCATTAGTAAATATGACTACTGCAATGAACTATTGTTTACAAATACAGTTAAAACAAATACCTATTATTTAATATAATAATACAGACAAGACTTTTTTCTGGCTGTAAGGGCTCTCTTGAAAGGCATCATTTTTTTTCTAGAACAACTGTAACAGGCAGTTTGTGGCGGGCATCGGCACATTTTAATGTCATTTTTTAGGTAAGAACCGTCAAAATGTT